TACAGTTACATTTGATACAGTTACATTTGATACAGTTACATCTGTTAAAGCAAAGAGCTGAATACTTCCTTAGAGGGCTGATAGAGACCAAAACAGAGCAAAAATATGGCGAATGTCAGCCATCACCTTTACACTTTTAGATAAACACCTGTGCTGCTCTGTAGAGTAACTGCTGAATATAACAGAAATGCTTTGAAAGCTCATAAAAAAAATGAGATTTTTGCTCGTCTCACTATATGTTAGTTGGTGTAAGAGATACTGATGATACTGATGTTTCTATTGTTTACCTAAATACAAAATTAGCCCTTAATTAAAATCAGCTTAACCCACTGTCTGTGATTTGCAACTTATCTAACATCCTGAATGAAATTAAGTCTTTGAGTCAGATCCAAGCTGGGCACTTATTAACTCTTAACTCGAGTAGATTATTTTATTCCTGGATCATCATCTCTGTACTTTGTTTAGCTAAATCAGTTTGCTGGCTGGTCTGGATACACCTCCCTGTTTTCCCCTGTGGCCTCTCCCATGTTTCTGTATACTGTCGATGAATATGCACGTTGATTCGATTAGAAATAGAGCTGAGGAAGAAGAATTGAGAGAGGAATCGTTTGACGGGGAGGGTTATGAGGAGGAACAGTGCCAGTGAAAGCTTTGTAGTGTCTGTAAACACCAGCTTGTCAGTAATCTGTGATCCTAAAGACGGACAGAACTCGGGACGTTTCCGTGCTTTGGCTCTCCTGCACGGGGGAAATAGATTCTTTCAGATCTGCTGTGAGCTTAGCCAAAAATGGTAACAATCTAAGAGTGGCTGTTGAGCATGGTGATAAAAACTGTGGTTTTCAAATTTCTTTTTAAAGACCTTTTAACTTTGAAGAAAAGTAAACACTGGAAAAAGCTTCCTAAATCCGATTAGGAATGTTTTGGAGCTTCATTGAGGTACAGGGAATTGCTTGCTTCACTGACCTACAGTGGCCTATTGTTGCAGGTGTCAAACTAATGTTTGCTCTACTGGAAAGTGGGAAACTGCATTCTCCATTTGTATTTCTCTCTAAACTGTAGTTCTCATTCACTTAGTCCAGTCAAAAAGCATGTGGAGGAAATAAAAACTCACAATATTTTTTCCTGGGCTCTTCCACAGACTCCGGCTTATTTGCAAACAAATGTGATCAGGAACTGAGCGAGCTGAGGAAGAGTATAGAGAGCGATGAAGGCAAGTCTCCGGACCCAAGCAAGGATGAGCAGCCCAAGAAGAAACACAGGCGCAACCGCACCACCTTCACCACCTACCAGCTGCACGAGCTGGAGCGTGCCTTTGAAAAGTCCCATTACCCAGACGTGTACAGCCGCGAGGAGCTCGCCATGAAGGTGAACCTCCCCGAAGTCCGAGTTCAGGTAACGTGAACTGCATTAAAGGCAACACCATTTCAGAGATTGCTAAGAAGCACTTCAAACGTTTCTGTCGTGCTTTTGGGTTTTTTTTAGAGATATTCTCATTATTCTGGAATAAAATCTCATATTCACACTACGTGAAAGGCTGTATTCATTCAAAAACTCCCCCAGTGTTGTCGAGTATATTCGAGTATATTTCCCTACCCAGAATGAAAAACTCTGCACTCCATCATATTTACACGTACCTTATTTTTCTGTCATTTTCTTCCAGGTCTGGTTTCAGAACCGTAGGGCTAAATGGCGCCGGCAGGAAAAGATGGACGCCAGCACCATGAAGCTCCACGATTCACCCATGCTCTCTTTCAACCGTCCGGCACCAGTTCACACCAGCATGGGTCCAATGACCAACTCCCTCCCCTTGGAACCCTGGCTGACCTCTCCCCTGTCCAGTGCTACACCTGTGCACAGTATCCCAGGCTTCATGGGTCCAGCTCAAGGCCTCCAGCCCAGCTACCCAAGCCACCATTTCCTCAACTCCACCCCCCACGGTCCTCACGGTCCTCACGGTCCTCATGGTCCTCATCCACACCCTCACACTCATCCCCATCCGTCCATGGGTCAGGGGATGCAGAGCATGGCTCCTCCTCCTTATCAGTGTCCAGCACCATACCCTGAAAAGTACCCTTTGGAGGATGTGGACCAGCGCAGCTCCAGTATTGCTGCACTGAGGATGAAAGCCAAGGAACACATCCAGTCTATGGACAAGACCTGGCAACCCATGTGACTAACGAGCTCGGCGGTCGACGTGAGCAATGCTGGAAGTGACACGTCACGTGCTACGCCACTAAGTGAAAGAAGCGGATTCTGAACTGTGAAAGCTGAGGACGTAAGAATTTTTGTTTGGGGGGGAGACTTTATTTTCTTTTCTACTTCTTCCCCCTTAAAAAACAGCTGAAACCTTCAGCGGGTTAAAAGTTTCCGATATTTTTGCTCGTCCAATCTCTAGGTGTCTATTGTTGCCTTGGGTTCGTTAAAAACAAATGTCTTCTTGGTGAAACAAACGGTTTATGACACCTAGAAGTATTTCCGAGTCACAAACAGGCTCTGAGTGCACGTTTCATGCCTGAGCCTTTGCTGCAGCTCTTTGGGTGCACCAACAGTGAAGACACGCTATATCATTAAAAACTGCCAAAATGCGGGAATTCTTATTCATCACTTTTCATTTATCCAAATCATTTGAGTCGAGCAAAATATCATTCTCATGCTTTTCTTTTCTAATTTTTTTACACCACATTTGTGTTTTTACTAATTAGTCCAGCTGTCGAATTTTCATGGGTCTGCAAATCAGAGTCTTAGAGGACTTTGTGAATGGACCTTTGGTCTCTGTTTAATGTGAAATCGAGGCATGAAGACACACTACAGTGTCACTGCTCATCTCACTAATCTGTTTAGTTATAAAAGCCGTGTAGCTGGTTTTCGTTTTATGTCCACCTGTTCTATGATTTATGTTTCTACTTGCTACGCAGTTTAGATACGCGAGTCCATGTTTTAGATATCTTGGTGTGACTGGAAGAAGATGATCAGTGAGGAGAAGCTTCTTTAAGAGATCTTCATCTGGTGGGAAAAGGGTCACCTCAACTGGGACCGGGAATATACCAAAAATATTTCTGCACGGATACATTTTTTCTGACTTGTGCTTTAAAGAAGGGAGGAAGCAGAAGAAAGGCAGAGGAAGTAGACAAAAAAACGCAGGCTAGTCAGCGGAGTAGCCCTCTTTTTGCTTGAGTGACTGTTGGAGGAGAAAACCTGTTGGCAGCTCAGTGTTGGTGGCTGCGTGTACGTGCAGGGCAGCAGAAAGAGCCCTGTGTGATGCGTCACCCCACATAGTTCAGTCTTTGTTCGACACAATTGATCCAAGTGCATCCTCTTTGTCCCGAACAGAAGGGGGAGAAACGGTCTCAGGCTGCACTAAATAGGCCCTTGTAACCATTTTGTTGTAGTTTTTTTTTCTTTTTCAAACAAGAGGAAACATGGATTGTTACTGCTTTGGTCATTAGTGACACAATATTAGTCTCATGCCATCTGTTACGGGGTTAAGCCCCAATCATCTTAAAGTTGGAGCACAATATGCTTCATATGGACAGTAGAGGTAAATAAATAAGACTGTGACACTGAAATGTTTTTGCATGTGCAGGTACCATCTCAAACAAATCTTTGGAGGTTGAAATTTATATATTTTTAACAGAACAAGAGAGATAGAAAACTCTGTCCTCTTAAAGTGCAATTTCAGAAACCCATTTTTTATGTTTCTATATAAAATGTGTTTTTTCTTTTGTTAAAAATAAAAAAGGAGACTCATTTCTGCCCAGATTGTTACAAAGTCACACCCCACTTTTTTTCCCTTATTTTTGGATACTTTTGAAATTCACTCTTGTCTGACCTAAAGGGGATAAGTAATGTTACAGCCGCTGTTCATCATCTGTCTTCATGTAGTTTTACACGATGGTGACCTCACACAGCACAGGAAACCAGAATTATCTTATGTTTTAACAGGACATTTAGTTTGCAGCATAAATGTTTTGGGCCAAGAATAAGCCAAAGGTTAGATAACAGACAACATTGCACTAGTTTTAGTTATTTTTATTGTCTTACATGCCCTAGTTATGTCTGTCTTAGTGATATCGTTGTTTTATTTCTTTTGGATTTTGTCTGGATTGTTGATGTTCATATTCTGGAACAAATGGAGATCTACTGAAAATAAATATAGTTTGATAGAAATTGTATCTCTGCGTTCTCACTGCAGTGCTTTCATGTTGACCTATGCACTCATTCCCACAGTCACTGTGGGGTTTTTAACCTCCCTAAGACTACTAGAGCAATCCAAGATTACTACAGTATAATCGTTGTCATCTGACATACATGAGCAGAGACATTTTTTTTTGCTGCAAACACTTGTGCGCCTTGTCTCTCTGTCATGGTTTTCTTTCTTTTTACCCCTCTCAATCCTCTCTGCTTTTCCATGGGGTTGTGGCAGGATGCCAGCCTGTTAGGAAGATGAGACTCCAATCAATCAGGACTTCCCAGGGGGGCCTCTGACCACAGGGCTCGGCTCCCTAATTGCCCCCAGGCAGGCAGGCAGGCTGCAAGGTTCAGCCGCTGCAACACATGTTCACAGAGGGCCGGTGCCGCCGTGCTCGCTGGGCTCCTCAGCATGTGAGACACTGTCCTGGACAGATGGAGGGCTGAGCAGACCGTACTTCAAGGACCATATGGATAAGCCAGTGGATGAAGCATGGACGTTTTTGCAGGATCTTTTTAAATTCTTAACATGAAAATAGATGTGTTGCAATTAGATCCAAGTTACAGAGCTCAGCAAGATATCCTGATTTTAAAAATAAGTTGCATACAGTTTTTTCTGTGCAATACACAGATACAACATTTTAATATGCATATTTATGTCATGATATTTCATCCCAGCATATTCTCCTTATAAGAAAAAAAATGTGGTGACGTGATGTTTTGCACTTTACTTAAAAGGGAAAATTTGTGCAGAACAAAGTTTGTATTGAAAAGTCAGTAAGTACTTTTTCTTTAAAGGATTACCCAAGAAAAGTAATACAGGACCTCAAACTGTGGAAATGGCTTTTAGCTCTTTTGTGAATATAACAAGTGCACAGGTAAGACTTTCACTATTTACACACTTTTTACTTTACTGTCAGGGTCTCATATATGAATAATTAAGCAAACAACACATCCTGAATGAAAAAGGGGGAAAAAAGTCAAGCTTTTGCCGAAAGGATGAAAGAGGCCGAGAATGTGAAGAAGCCAGATTAAGTTGGAGAAAAGTGTGGGTGTGAGAGACATGCAGAGAGAGGGAGAGTGGAGAGGGGGAGACAGGGGGTGGGGTGGGTGCTCATCAGAGTTAATGATGTAGAAAATCCCCCAATTAGAGCGTTTTCCTGTGTTGCAGGATGAGTTCAGAGTGGGGTCCTCTGACAGACCAGGGATTAGTACCCGGGCCGGGCGAGGCCGAGCCGGGCCTGAGCGGACACTAACTAACTGCTGGACTGCTGGCACTGCTCAGCTGGGGCCGGGTCGGGGCTACAGTCACAGCCGGGGGCTGGGGTAGGCATGCGTTGAGCCACAGTGAGTGGCACAAAGGAAAGCATGGGAAAAGGAGCAGCAGATCGGCAGGGAAAAGGTTCTGGCAGAGGGTCGTTTTCCTGTCCCAATGCTACTAACATTTACTCAACCACTACTTCTGGTCTTATTTGATAAAAAGATTAACTTTTTAAAAATACATCACAGTATTACATACAAGAATGTGCTCACCCAAAACATTATCCAATATAATCTGGACATGTGATTAATCAGTCTTGTCCACATATTGCTCGATGTCAGACAATAAATCACCAAATGTGGCGTCGCATTAAGAAGCAGGAACACAACCTTTAATTCTCCCTGATACCTGGAACAATAAATCCTTCTGGATCATTACACAACAAGGAAGCTGATTAAACATAAACAATGACATCTGTTGTCATAGTTACCTAAATGCAAGAGATGTAAAATGCACACTCACACAAACCCATCAGGGACAACTGCACTTTACCCAAGGATGCTTTGGCATGCGGACTGGAGGAGTCAAGGATGCTCCACCCTGCCCTAAACTTACAGCACCTGGTATTCCAAGGAGGTGGTAATGGGGGTGTGTGTCGCACTGAGACCCCAAAGAGGGGGCAGCTGTTAATATCAGCTACCAAAAAGATTTAAGAGATGTTTGAAGAAGTCTTGAGGCACGAGTGGTGCAAAAAAAGGTGGCATTTATTAATAATAAAATAAATAAATATGAAGTCTCTGCTTTGTGCTAACAAAGGTTTTACCATATGTATAACCTGCACCCCTACATACTGAAAGAATGTGAAATAAAGCCTCCTACTGTCCTCTTCTGTGTCCCAGTTGACGTCTCGGGACCTAATCATGCAAACTCTGCATTACCACTGATTACCAGCCAATTACCAGGAACCAGAGATGGGCAGTAACGCGTTATCCGATTACTTTTTTCAAGTGACGAGTAAAGTAAGGGATTACTATTGCAAAAACGGTAATTAGATTACCGTTACTTTCCCGTAGGAACGCTGCGTTACTGCGTTACTAAAACCGTGATTTTTTTTGCGAGAATGTCTCATGACAGTGACGTAAGCGAGTGCGACGTTCGTGACAACAGCTGTGTGCAGATCAACAATGGATCATATGAGTGCAGAGAGAGTATGAGCGTGCAGCGTTTAAAGCGTGGAAGTACTGACCTTACTTTGAGTTTGATTCCATAAAAAGTGACAAAAACATTAGTGTCCGCTGTGCGTGGGAAGAAACAGGACCGCTGAGTCTTTGACTTTATTTATTTTCTGCTGTGTTTTACTTGCATCTATTTGAAAGACTGAGTGTAAACACAAAAAATATTTTATTTTATGTGCTGGAATGTGCAGAAAATAGGTTTAAATGTTAAACTAATTTCTTCCAGTCAGAGAATGTTGCAGATAATTAAATTTTGCTTGATGCATAAAGTTAAAAGATTAAAACTAATAAAACAAGTTTTAAAAAGAGACTTTTCCATTTGATTACATTTTGTATGATGGATTATGCAGAAAAAGTAGAATTGGGCTGAAAGATCTATCGCTTTATCACCTACTCAGGTTGTAAATCGTGTTTTTAAAAAGTAACTAAGTAATTAATTACTTTTGAAAATAAGTAATCAGTAAAGTAACGAGGATTACTTTTTTGGGGAAGTATAGTTACTGATTCCTTTTTTCAAGTAACTTGACCAACACTGCCAGGAACACAGGTGACATATTAGGAAGTTAATTAAATGACTGAAGCCAGTCTTTTGATCACGTCAGCTACCAAAATACACCAACAGAAACTCTTTCTGATAATATGTCAGTCATGTCCAGACTCCCTGATTCTAAAAGAACCAGGAATCAGAAACATCATCCCAACGTGATCAGTAGTGTAACAAAATTCATAAAGTTCTTTCAGTTGTGTTTTCTTGTGCAGTACAGCGGTGAAAGTCAAAGAATTCAACTTGTAGACACATTTCCAAACAGAAAGACGAGGCACTTTGAGGCATCTCTAACGCCCCTCTTCTACACAGCAACTGTGTTCATTAGGAACAACTGAATCCCTAATGACTAATTGATTAATTGTGCAGTCTATTATTTTGCTCCTGCACCCGAGTAGATCTGAAAGCGCCACGGTTGGAGTTAACAGTCTTATTGGAAAGACGCGTTCCTTGCAAAGGATAATAAGGGAAAAAAGCGGAATTAATTGGGTTTGATTAAGGGAGCTTTTCAATGGGACACAGCTTTTTCGCATGACATAATTAGAGGTCAGCTAACGGGGGGAGGGAGGAAAAGGGGTGGGGATTTAGTTGGGGGCGCCAGTGCTGTGTGGGTGTGTCTGAGGGGGACAAATAGATCGAGAGAGAGAGAGAGAGAGTGTGTTTGTGTGTGTGTGTGTGTGTGTGTGGGGGGGGGGGGGGGGGGGGGGGGGGGGGGGGGGGGGGGGGGTGATGCGATGCGATGCTTCGTTCACACTTGCAGGACTACGTTGTGTGTCTGATGTGGTAAATTTCTTTAGGCCCACTCACCAGAAAACACACAGTGAAGTTCACGGGGGGGGAAGCCCTCTCTGCGCTCAGTGTGTGATTATCATCACTACAATTGGCAGCATTAAAGGCCCAGTGCTCAGGCTTTTGTTGCTGCTGCATGGTCATTAGCTGTGCATTTCAAAGGCCACTTTACTGTATGGAGGGAGGCGGTGGCAGAAAAGTACTTTCAGCAGTCTGTTTGGATGAGCATGCAACATTCAAACACACACACACTCACTTTATGACTCTATAATCCTGTTACAATATCATCTAGAGCAGGACAGTGGGACACGCAAGCTGTCGGGTCTAAAAATACACCCAGACTCTCTTAAAACAAAACCAGGCTTCAGATTTGATTAGATGATCAAATATTTCATTGTGAGTCACTCCATCTGCATTTTTTTTCTCAGAAGAGCTGCAATCTTACTTTGTTTCAGCAGAGTTTGTAGCAGACAATGAGCCCGAATAGAAAGTGAAGACACAATCCCACCTTATATTAAGCATCCAATTTACTGACTGTTGTTCAGTAAGATGTTACACTACAGGTTTGTGCTGGAAAAATGAAGGCAGAGAGGATATTTCTTCTTAACATAATGTTAGATCATCAGCTGAAGCTTTTATTTCTACAGCTGAATTTCCCAGCGCAGGACCAGCAGAGTACTCGTACTTTGTTATTGATTCCCTGATTTCTCACTGAACCCTGTCTTTCTTCTTTCAGCTGCTCCCTTTAGGGATCACCACAGCACATCATCTGCCTCCAGCTCACTCGATCCCTGGTATTCTCTTCTGTCACACCAACCCTCTGCATGTCCACCTTTGCTGCATCCATGGATCTTCTCTGTGGTCTTCCTCTTTTCCTCCTTATTCATCGTTCTTTGTCCAATAAAGCCAATATCCCTCCTCTAAACAGTTTGAAAGTAGATCCTCAGAAGCTGAAACCACTGACTTTACTGAGGTTTGTGATCGGCTTTCATTAAAAATGCATAAAATACTTTCATTTGCTTACTGTGACACGTGGATACAAAAAAAGAGACGGTGAACTTCTATTACCTTCTTTGTGGTGGTCGTGATCGACTACAGCTGGTAGTTTTTTGTTGCCTGCATGAGAAGGATTTGCTTGAGAGCACTCAGTAGATTCACTGATACTCAGAACAATGTGAAAATCCAAAAAACTCCATCAATATCTATAAAGAAGAAATGTACATTTACACAAGTTGGAAAAAAGTCTCTGGAGCCGTCTCCAAACAACTGCAGATTCCAAGAATTACAAATTCAAACAGTGTGGCTACAATGCAGCTGCCATCACCAGTGTGTGAATGTGTGTGTGAATGGGTGGATGACTGGATGTGTAAAAGCGCTTTGGGGTCCTTAGGGAGTAGTAAAAGCGCTAT